CGATAGATTGTAGATGCATGGACTTTATCATTCCTGACAAATCGAAGTTTGAGCCGCTTTAAATGCTGAAAGGGGACAAAAATGCGATGGATGATGAAGATAAGACTATTGAGGATGGGACGCAACACCGAGTATATGGTGTTGCAGAAGTTTATCTACTTTTCTACGGTCTTAAAGCTAAGGGCACGACCTTTAACCGTCAATTGATGTATGTTTCACCGTTATCACTTGTGGGACTTAAGCCAGGCAAAAGACTGATTTTTAACAAAAATCTGCATATACGTGTGGGGCAACAGAAAGCTTTTTAATCAAAAAGGATCGTCTTTTGCGGCCTAAGCAAAAAGCTGAAGAGCAGAATATGTCAGCATAGTCTACTTCAAGGTAAATGGAATGCAAAATTTTTGCATGTAAACTGTGAAACTTCGAATAAATTGCAAAAAATGCAGTAAAAACACAACAGCGCAACTTTTTACTTAAAAGAATTTTTTTAGTGATGACAATCCAAGTCTTGCATACTTTTCTTAAGATATTCGGAAAAAGAAATTTTAATGCCTGTAAGGTGACATTTTATGAAGAAAAACTCCCAGGTCTCGATAACGGATGAAGGCCTGCTCTATTGTTTCGCCTTATCCGGTCAAAGACACAGGGCGGCTAACAATGACCCAGTGTATGCTAAAACGGACTTAGTGGGGGTTAACAATGACAAGGTGGCGCAAATTATGCAAGAGAAGCTTCACTCGCTCTTGAAGTGCCATTCTCGCCAATAGGGGAACTACTTCTACAACCACTTTTTTTCCAATCTACTTATTTAAACATGAAAAATACAAAACTTACGATGGAGTCGATAGTTTTGATGCCCTTGAATCTGCTGTTTACACTTCAACTGAATAAAAATAGCAAAAAACATCTTTCTCTGCTCCCGATAGTTCAATAAAATTTCAACACATCATCTTTATCAAACCATGAGTCTAGAAGTGTCGGGTAAAATTAAAATACTTTAGATCTGGGCATTTTAACGACCAAGAAGAGGGTTGGGTTATCCGAAGACTAGCATGGCACTAAATTTACGCTTGTTTTACTGACAAAAATTTTAACTTTGCTAGGGCTACAGGTGTCAATGGAAATGAACTTGTCAAAAATGAGGAAGCAATTTTGTCAGCTGGTGTTAAGAAGGCTTCTTGCTATGCAATATAAAATCAGTAGTCTTGTCGAATTTAAAACATGGGATCTTGTGCCTTTATCTCTTGGAAGCCATTATCAAGAGGTAAATGGGTTTCTGATATGAAACGCAAAAAGAATGGTTCAATTGATTGCTAAGTTTAAGATAGAAGACTGAAATATTTCACCTATAGTTCGTATCAAATTTGCTCAAAGTTTGCAATTGCGGCTCAACATGGTCGTAAAATAGGACAAATCGATATCAAGACAGATTTTGATATTTTTCACCTAAAATTAGTATATTCTTCAATTAGTCAAAAACTGCAGTTGCAGCACAGCATGGTCTCAAAGTGAGGCAAACTGATATCAAAACATCTTTTTGAGTTCTTTCGTAGATGAAGATGTTTTCCTTAAGCAACCTCTTGCTTTTGTGATTGGTGAAAAGTTTGTATGCAACATCAATAAATGTATTTACGTTTAAACCAAACGAGTCAATCTTAGAATCAGTTTTCAACAAAAGTTTTGTTGGAACTTGGATCCCTAAGAAGTTTTGTAGATACCTGTTGGTCTCACCAACTTAAAAGCATGAGTTCCATTGCTGTGTATGTTGAACACATGAATATTTTTGCTGTTGCCCAAAAGTCAGCGAAACAATTGCTTGCGATTCTTGGTCAACGGATTTGCATGGAAGATAAGGGCGTTCCCGAAAGGGGTCGATGGAAATAACAATTCACTTTGGGACAAACGTGAAATATTTTCTCAAGTAAGATATGTTAAAAATTCAATCGAAAATGAAATATGCATAATTTCAAAAAGGTTCAAGAACCTGTGGTTACATCTGAAAATGCAACTGATGATTACATTCTAACTGATTGTTCCCTTTTTCAGCAGTTAGTGGGGACGTTACTGATTTTAGCTGTAACAACGAGGCTGCATATTGATTTGCAGTAAATTTACTTTCTCAGGAATGCAAAAAGTCCAACAGTGGGAGATTTTTTGGCATCTAAACAGGTCTACACTATTTAAAGGGCACGAAAATTTCCCTTTCTTGTTCAAGACATTAGAGTGGTCTAGTTTTTTTTTTGGGGTCAGTGATGGCGACTGGCAGGTGGCGTAATGACCAGAAAGTCTGTATCTGGTATCTTATCAAAAAAACGAGTCCGACTCACTTGTGTTTTGGCGAACTGCTGAACAATTTTTGGTATCATTATCTACATGCGAACCACAGTTTGCGGCTCTATGAGCCTTGGCCAAGAAAGTTTGGTTCCTGAAACAACTATTTGATATCATTAGCTGCAAATTACTAGCTCCATCTTGTTAAGTGACAGCCAGGAAGCAATCTGTGCGACTCATGAAACAGCTTCGAGATGGAGAGCCAAACATATCGACAAAAGAAAACATTTTGTTCTAAAACAAGTTTGCTTTAGTATGATGATTTGAAAAGATCATCCTTCTACAGTTATGTTTGCGGATACGTTGATAAAAGGACTCCCAAATGTTTTTTTGGGCGCGGTTATGCAAACTTCTCTTTGGAAATACTTTTTGATTGGGAGTGTTAAAATACTCGTGTGTGATTGGTCTGGACATGATTATTTAAATAGAAATTACCCTAATTGAAAGTTAAATCGTAAATTTGAGAAAAAAACATTTCATCTTGTGACTTTTAATTTTAGAGTTAAATCTAAATAACGCAGTTAAACAAAGATTATGGACTTTGACCTTACCCTCTTACATCCAAAAAAATTATAAGATGATAAATTGTTTTAGAGAAACAGAAGGGAGAGGTGGGTTGAAAAGTTACGGTTAAAAAGAAAAAAACTAAGTCTAAGAATATATAAAATGGAGTCTGGTTAGAGTACATTTGAAGATATTCTTTGCCTTGAAACTTGAAATTGTTTTCCAAAAGTGTGACTTCTTATGTTTGAAATCGTGGTAAAAGCCCCATTACTGAACTCGTGGTTAAGTAGCGGAAAAGACATTATTTTTTAAAGTCATTTTTGTGGTTTTGACGAGCCTATTTGATATTCCTCAGTTCGGTGATATGCTTCATAGATAGGCCTGTTCGATTAATGCTTTTGTCTATAAATCAAATTGAAAATATCTTCATTATAGTTTTCATCATTGAAATTACAAAAAAAAACTGGAAAAAATTTAATTTGGATCTTGAATCGTGAGATTGACAACCCTGTTTGATGCTCCCCATTTTGGTGGTACCTTCATAGTTAGGCAATTAAGATTATGACTTTTGTCCATAAATCAAATTGAAAACTGTTTCTTCATGGTTTTCATTAAATTGGTTTACTTACCTTTCAACAAATCGTAAGGAAATCTAAATTGGATTGTGATGGGTGTCTCTCAAGACACCTACCTAGACACGGGGGATGTGAATTTTTTTTGAAAATTTTGGAATTCCTTATTAACAAATCATCTTCAGCACTGATGTACTAGCTCCTGTTAGTTTTGTCTCAGCAAACTGTTCATTTGGCTATGACCTTCTCTAAATAATGGACAATCTGTTTTTAACTAATTATGCACAGTTATCCAAAAAACTGCTTTGGAGTTGCCATTTTGTGTCACCGATCCAATTTTTTCTCACATTAACTAACAAACTGAATATAATTGATTAATTTAAAGTTTGCGGGAATAAAGAATTGATTGATTTGGTTGGCATTTGAACATTTTTTTGCAAAACATGGACAGATCACAAAACAGCAATTTATGAGGGCAAGCAACAATTTATCAGTTGGAGAGTAATTATTTCATTCGAAATAAAGGGGGGTCTCACAAAAAACCATTGATTAAATTATCATAAAATCAAGGGTCCAAAATCGTATAAAACCAAAGTTTCAACAATTAAAAAAACCAATAGATGCTGTATTAATCAGTGAACGGAAAGACCGATTATTTTGACTTTTTCTATCTACCGTCAAAAAATTTTTACCAACTTAAACGGGAAAAAAATAAAAAAAACATGTACTATTAAAACAGTATCCACCAAAGTATACGGTTTTTAACGTCTGTAAACACTCATAAATATGTTAGCCGGAAAAAAGGTTTCCAACTGGTTAAGTTTTATCAAATGATTATAATAGATAGACAGAAGAGAGAGGTGGACTAAACTGGTGGACTAAAAGGTGGACAATGATGTTTAAGTCTAAGAACAATATAAATTAGAGTCTGGTAAATTTATGTTTAAAGATGTTGTTTTCCTTGAAAATTTCAAAGAAGTAATCTCCCAAATTTGAAATTATGATTTATGCGTAAAGCCATTGACTTGCTTTTGTAAAACATTTAATTGGTTTGATTTTGCTTAGTTCAAAGAAATCGCGGTAAAACATATTTATTTTCTTAAAAAATTCGTGGGATTGACAAGCATATTTGATTTTCCCCAATTTGGTGGTACCTTATATGCGATATAGAAGGCGTTTGGCATTATGGCTTTTGTCTAGAAATGAAATTGAAAATAGCTTCCTTATGGCTTTCATAAAAATTGGTTTTCTAAAATTACAACAAATCATAACGATAAAAAGGTTTGGATTGTCACCGACCTAAGCGCGGGGGATGTGAACTTATATGAAATTTTCGGAAATGCTTATTAACAATTCATGTTCAGCTCTGCTGTTTTAGCTCCTGTTAGTTTTGTCTCATCCAAGAGTCCATTTGGTTTTGCAATCTCTAAATAATTGACATTTCATTCTTAACTATTCATGCACAGTTATTCAAGATGCAGTTTTGGTGTTGGCATAATGTGTCAAAACTCCAATTTCGTCTCACATTAACTAACAAACTTGTTATATTTGATTGCATTAGGTTAAATATATAAAGAAACTTGGATTGATTGGATTTGCATTTGATCATTTTCTAACAAAACATGAACGAATCACAGAGCAGCCTTTTATTGAAGGTAAGCAAAAATTCAATCATTATAGAGTAATTAATTCATTCAAAATCATGGGCCTCAAAAAAGAAAACTTTTCATTAAATTATCATAGAATCAAAAGTCCAAAATCATATAAGCCTTCACATTTAAAAACTGAAAGAACTCGTAGATGCTGTAATAATCAGTGAATGGAAATATGGATTATATTGAATTTGAATTTTATGCGATTTTTAAAAAACCAAATTATGAAACAGTTTTGAAGGATTTTCGAAAGACGTATGTATTTTATTTTTTTTTTTTATTTTTTGAGAGAAAATATCTGAGACGATAACTGAAATAATTTTATTGCCAGCATCCAGTTTCAAGCGTTAATAATCGATTATATTAAGATTTTAGTACCAGTCTCACTAAAATTGAGAAACAATCGATTTTCACCAATTAATAATCGATTATAATTACTCTTTTCAAAATCAAATTATAATCAATTATAATCGATTATAGTCGATTTTTTATTCGACTATTTTTCGATAAATTTATAATCGATTATAATTGATTATAATCCATTATTTTTTATCAAATTTCTATTTCATTAGTTTTGCACAAAAATCCATTATAATCGATTATAATTGATTATAATCCCTTTTGTTTGTCCATTTTTGTGTTCGAAGTTGCATCTAAATTGCTTATATTTTATGCTTTTTGTGGACATTGGTTTCTATGAAAAATGAGAAAAATATTTTAAAAGTTTTCCAATTGATTCAAAATTATAAGTTTTGTTTTCATTTCTCCCCCATTAGGGTTGTTTTGTGATGCATATTTTAAGCTTTTTTTAAACACCAAAACATCAGCAAATTGATTTAGTCTCATCATTGATTCGAAAAATTTATTTTTCATATACCGCGAGAACCTTTCCCTTCATATGAAAGGATCTCTATGAAACTTTTGTTTCGTGGTAAAACTTTGTGTTCAGATGAACCAAAGTGTTCAAGAGATCTCTCTTTTAGAGATTTTCTTATTGACACAAAAATTAATAACCCATAAGATATCATTTGAATATCGCAAAATTTCGGCAAAATGAGACATTATAATCGATTATAATCGATTATAATTGATTTTAAGGGTTTTTATTAAGAACTGTAATCAATTATTATCGATTATAAGGGATTATAATTTCTTGGAAAATATCACGATTATAATCAATTATAAGTCCCTTAAGGACCTAATTTTGGTAATTATAATCGATTATAATTGTCAAAAAATTATCATAATAATCCGTTATAATCGATTATTTACGCCTAAACTTGGATGCGGGTGGATACTCTGAAGACATTGTGAAATGATATTAAATTAAATAAAAGGTTACTTTTACGGAAAGTTTTCAAACTGATTATAAGTTAATGATACTTTTTGGACAATCCACTGGTTTTTTTGTTTTTGATGATTCCAGGAAACTTGAAAGTTTGATTCGTAAAACTTGACTGAGTTTTGCCGAAGTTTTTAAATACAGTTGATGTAAAACAAACTTTGGAACTATGCAACAATCCTCCCCACCCCCCCCCCCCCCCCAATGGTACCTATTTAAGAATCTCCACCCCTATAAATAAATACAGTAAAATAGCACTGACCTTTCTATTTAGAGTTTCAATTTTGCTGGATCCTGATCGGTCGAAAAATCGACCGTTTTGATCTACTTAACAATCTCCCCCCTTTCTTGAAAGGGGTGGAGATTGTTAAGTAGATCCCAAACTTTGCTGAGTTGATTTTTCTTTCACCGCTCAGAACACTTCTTAGGTAATCCTGTTGGGTGATAATAGTAGCGCCAGTAAAACCAGACTGCACTCGCTATGTATAGACAAGCAGAGAGCCACTATTGTATCAGAGTTTACGAACAAAGAGGCATAGAAAAGTTCAAGCTAACTTCAGTTATCAGATTATAGCTACCTGAAAAATGAACTGCACACCTTTTTGAAGAGTAATCCAAGACTATATATGGCAAGATATAACTAAAATTGGCATCGTAATATTGCATTACAAATTAAAACTTTTTAGTAAAAGAGCAACCTAGATTAGTTCTCAATAAGATCAATTGAACACTGCAAATTTAGAGCGGGAGATTGCCTGTTGTAGATCTGCCATAAATTTTCAAATGATTAGAAGTTTGTACTAAATTTCCCTATAGAAAAAAAACATTGGTCAGGTTTGTACCAAAATTATTTAACTCGAAATCTGATTGGTGAAATAGTGAATGGTTGAACTAATTGTCTATTGCTCAAACAACATAAAATCAAACAGCCTAAGCAACAAAATCATGACCAACGCAGTCGCGCGAACGGCTTACAAGCTAAGCTTGCTAACGGAGGGACGGGCTCTGTAAAAATTAGAGTCAATGACTTTAAACCGAGGTAAAGGGCTTTCTAGTCTTTGACGAATTAAACAGTTCGGTAAGCGATCAATTTTTCTTTTGGTACAAACTAGGATGATTTTTTATTTTAGTTTTTGTAAATGGGGTATTTTAGCAGGGTAACAGTGCCAAAGTGCAAACGTTCCGAACTGAAACGTTGCTCATCAGTGTCAAAGAATGTTTTGAATACTGTTCTTAGGCTTGTGTTCAGTAAACCAATGTATCAGTAATTAACCATATACGTAGTTTGAATTACGTAATAACTTTATTTTTTTTTCAAATAGAATTGACCTTACGAGTGTAAATAAATGGCCGAAGCATGCATCAAACAAAAAAGCGCTGAGTATACAAACCATTTAAAAAGTGCTATCAGAGGAATTAAATTTGCTTGACATTTTTAACAGTTACATACTTGTTAGATAACTAATATATAACAATTATGTATTTTCGGTTGGCTTATAATTCTACTGGTTTATACACCCTCGAATTTTCATGAGCTAAAATGAAAATTGAAGGTTGCAAGATTCCTGAAAAGAGTCGATTTATTTCAATTTTAAATCACGTTTTTGCTGTACGAAAGAAATGAAATTTTTTGTATAAATCTGAGATTTTTTAAATGTGATTATGAAATCAAAAGATGCAATTATTTTGAAATTTTAGTTAACTGATCTGGTCCGTCGTTTTCGGTTTGCTGATACATCAATTTACTGAACAACCCACTGTTTTTTCATCCCAAATCACTGACAAGTAACGTAATTCAAATATTAAAAAAAAATTTTAAAGACAAGAATGGCCATTATAATTGATGCCGCTTGTTAAACAACCAACATTTACCAAAACGGGGCGCCCTTAACTTTTCTGACCAATCAAATAACGCAAAACTTTAAATTTCATCATTTTTCGGCACTGTTAAACACATTTTCAGTTTCAGTGCCAATGTATTTTGGCACTGTTGTGCGCCCCTTGAAAAAACCCACCGAAATTAGGTATACTAGCTTGAACTTTGGTCTTGTAGATTTTGGTCGATGAAAAACGTGTAGTTTTACAAATCTGGGACACAGCAGGTTCGTTTAAACGGCGGTGCACACAAAACAGTTGTTAAAAAAAAAACAAATTATCCAAGTGCAGAATGAATCAATTGAACGAAGCTTTAACTATCAAACTACTCGTTACGCATTTTATTCTTTGCCCTGAAGAATTTGCCAGAAAAATTCACAGAAAACTCCACATCCGCAAACGCATGGTCGTCTGTCTGGCTGCATGACCTTAAAATTTTCTTGCTCAATTTAATGAACTCTTCTAAACATTCATTGTTTTTTTTGCACAATCTCACTAAGCAATTACCAATGGCAACAAATGTGAACTGATGTAAACTTTTCGTGATCAATATGCAGTTACAGATGCAGGGGCTGATGCAAAATAAGTTCGTCCTAGCCAATCAGAGATAATAATTTGGTCTTGTTCTGGAACCATACTGCTCTTGCAACACTCGTCTTTTTTACTTTCGCTAATACGGATAAGATAACTGTACCCAGTTTTTATGCTCCGCGTAACAACTTACACGAGAAGAAACGAAAGCTTGAACTAATATTTCATTTAAACGTCTCTAATAGCAAATATTTAGGCATTACGGCATGATTTTTCGTATGATTAGTTATCCCGACAAAATAGTTTTTAATAATTAGGCCAACAACGCTTTCAATCTATTGGATTTCCATTCTACAGAGGTGCAGATTGCTGTTTTGGTGTACGATTTCTTTTAAATGAATTCATTCCTATTCATTCCGACTCATACAGGGATGAGTTTCTTCATCAATGCGATCCGCCTAACCCAGAAATATTTCCCTTCATAGCAATCAGAATGAATGTTTGTATAAAAAATCGCCAGTCTAGTGCACGCATGACTGCCTTCCTAATTATTTTGCCCAGCCCCAAATATTTCATTTAAACGTCTCTAATAGCAAATATATTACTTCTTTATATAATTATATTCTACATGATTCGAAAATTGATCGAAAAAAAAAGAAATTGCACTGGAGAAAATTGCACTGATCAGAAAAAAAAAGAAATTGCACTGGATCGCAGTCGTTATAAGATTTATTTGGACAAAAGATTTTCAATGATCTTTCCCAACTTTTTTTTTAAATTTAGCTTGAAATTGCAAACCGCTAACCGCGTGATGTGATACAATACTGCATATACTATGTAAAAAGAATGATCAGCAAAAAAGAGAAAATAATGAGTTGTGGTTGCGGGTGTCCAGAAAAACTCAATTTTATTTGGGATGGTCTGAAAATGCCAAAATTTGGTCACAGCAGTCTTGACATGAAATTACAACCTCAATCCAGGTCTTCAACCGGAGTTAAACTTAGGTATTACGGCACGATTCGTTGTCTGATTAGTTATCCCGGTAAAATAGTTTTTAATAATTAGGCCAAGAACGCTTCCAATCTCTTGGAGTTGCATTCTACAGAGATGCTGATTGCTGTGTGTTGGTCTACGATGTCTCCAATTGGAATTCGTTCCTCCAGCTTGATTCAAAAATGGATGAGTTTCTTCATCACTGCGATCCACCCAAACTAGAAATATTCCCCTTCATAGTAATCGGAATGAATGTCAGTATAAAAAATCACCAGTCTAGTGCACGCATAACTGTCTTCCTAAAATTTTTCCAGCCCTAAAAATTTTATATAAGCATCTCTTCAGCAAATATATTCCTTCCTCTGATGAATACTTTCTACATGATTCAAAATGAAAACAATTAGTTGCACTGGAGCGCAGTCATTCTTAGATGTTTTTGGACAGAAGGTTTTTTAATGATCTTTACCATTTTTTTTAAATAAATTAAGCTTGATATTGCGAACCCTTTATCGCGTGATATTTTACTGCATTTGATATGCAAATAGAATGATTTCAAATAATTCAAATGTTTGCTGAAGTACCATTAAAGTTCTAATAGTTTTACTAACAGCAACTTTTTTTTGTTCGGAGGACTAAAAAATGGCTTTTTTGATGAACCTCCCAGAAATATTCAAAACAACCCCTTTTAAACTATTTATATATCTTACTCTTGTATGGAAACCTAACAAGTTACACATAGAGTCCCAGTTTCAATCAATTTGCAAACTTTTTGGGGTTATGGGCTGGCTCACTAAGTTTCTTTCGAGGGAAAATAAGTCTCTTCAATCAAATAAGGGAAGAGTTGAGACTATCATTGCTGAAAAATTGTACCAAGGCTATCAAAAATGCGTTATGACTGATCCAACTTAAGACACGAAAACGCAAAATAAATTGCTTTTCAGATTTTATTCCTACTTTGATCTCACAATTAAAAAAAAATTAATTGATTCATTCACTTTTTATACCTTAGATGAATCAGAGCGAAAGAGTTGTAGGAGCAAGGAGAGCGCAGCAGTGGTGTCAAAATCATCACAATATTCCAAATTTCGAAGTAGATGCAGATGATGTCAGTGCAGTTGATAATGTAAGCTTGTGATATAATGTAAGCTTGTGCATATAGTATGTAAAAAGAATGATCAGCAAAAAGAGAAAACAATGAGTTGTGGTTGCGGCTGTCTAGAAATACTCAATTTTATTTGGGATGGTCTGAAAATGCCAAAATTTGGTCACAGCAGTCTTGACATGAAATTACAACCTCAATCCAGGTCTTCAACCGGAGTTAAACTTAGGTATTACGGCACGATTCGTTGTCTGATTAGTTATCCCGGTAAAATAGTTTTTAATAATTAGGCCAAGAACGCTTCCAATCTCTTGGAGTTGCATTCTACAGAGATGCTGATTGCTGTGTGTTGGTCTACGATGTCTCCAATTGGAATTCGTTCCTCCAGCTTGATTCAAAAATGGATGAGTTTCCTCATCATTGCGATCCACCCAACCCAGAAATATTCCCCTTCATAGTAATCGGAACGAATGTCAGTATAAAAAAACACCAGCTAGTGCACGCATAACTGTCTTCCTAAAATTTTTCCAGCCCTAAAAATTTTATATAAGCATCTCTTCAGCAAATATAATCCTTCCTCTGATGAATACTTTCTACATGATTCAAAATGAAAACAATTAGTTGCACTGGAGCGCAGTCATTCTTAGATGTTTTTGGACAGAAGATTTTTTTAATGATCTTTACCATTTTTTTTTAAATAAATTAAGCTTGATATTGCGAACCCTTTATCGCGTGATATTTTACTGCATTTGATATGCAAATAGAATGATTTCAAATAATTCAAATGTTTGCTGAAGTACCATTAAAGTTCTAATAGTTTTACTACCAGCAACTTTTTTTTGTTCGGAGGACTAAAAAATGGCTTTTTTGATGAACCTCCCAGAAATATTCAAAACAACCCCTTTTAAACTATTTATATATCTTACTCTTGTATGGAAACCTAACAAGTTACACATAGAGTCCCAGTTTCAATCAATTTGCAAACTTTTTGGGGTTATGGGCTGGCTCACTAAGTTTCTTTCGAGGGAAAATAAGTCTCTTCAATCAAATAAGGGAAGAGTTGAGACTATCATTGCTGAAAAATTGTACCAAGGCTATCAAAAATGTGTTATGACTGATCCAACTTAAGACACGAAAACGCAAAATAAATTGCTTTTCAGATTTTCTTCCTACTTTGATCTCACAATTAAAAAAAATATAATTGATTCATTCACTTTTTATACCTTAGATGAATCAGAGCGAAAGAGTTGTAGGAGCAAGGAGAGCGCAGCAGTGGTGTCAAAATCATCACAATATTCCACATTTCGAAGTAGATGCAGATGATGTCAGTGCAGTTGATAATGTAAGCTTGTTTAATTAAGGACCTTATAATTAAGGTCCTTAATTAAACATTAAGGACCTTATTAATTAAGGACCTTATAATCATTCCTTATTTTCATATTTCCATTTTTCCATATTTCATTGTATGAAATATGGATTTTCATATTTCCGCAATTTTCTTATTCCCGCAATTTTTGGTCAAGCAAAACTTCAGCAGTGATATGCTAGAATTATTAGTCACTTAATACTTAAAGTTATTTTAAAAAAAATGATAATAATGATGATCATGATAATACAATTAATAAACTTTAAGGATTAAAAACAGGAAGAATAAAAGTTATAAGAATCATAAAAGCAATACTAAAAAAACCTAATGATGAAGATCATAATTAATATGAAAATCAAAAAAGTTATCGTAACAATCATAATTTCCGATGTTGAGTTTATGTGATCATGGCCGAACGTTTACAGAGCGTCCGACTCCAGCGAAAACAGACCAAAAATAGAGTCGGTACTCAAGTTGAGGGTTCTGTCAAAGGCATCAAATTTTAGTTTTGGCCATCAAACCTCGAATTATGCGGAATACTTTTCAAATTTACATTAAAAAAAATCAGGTAAGTGTAAACAAAATAGTTATTTTCCCATTTTACCCGTTTAGTAAAAATTTCCCACTCTGCGTTAGTACGAAGTGAACTCTTCTGGCCTTCAAAGACGCCCATTTTTAGCAGTTTAATTTTGTTCACATAGAGCATCCCGGGTTCACCAAAATTTTCATACACTTTCCATATATGAGAAACTTCTTGTTATACAATTCTATACATACTATACGTATAGAAAATTTTATGAAATCTCTATGATAATTTTTTTTCTATATACGGAATTTGTATGATTAGAAATTTCCCATATATGAAAATAGCATGACTAGAAAACTTTCATATATGAAAATTTTATGATTACAACTTTTTTAAAATGAGATGAGGCATCAATTAGGACTAAGCCAATTAATCATCTTGTGGGATTAATTGGCTTGGTCGTAATTGATGCCTCATCTCATTTTAAAAAAGTGCAATCTCTGAACAGAGAAAAAAATATGACAAAAATTACGGTAATTTAGAGATTTGAAGCTCAATCTCTGCGTTATCTGCAAGTAAATTTTCTCAGCTCTTGAGAGTGCAACAAGTTTTCACACCTAATTCAATGAGAACCAATATCTGGGGTGGGGGATCAAACGCGAAAAACAAACTTGTAACTGAGTTGAACAACGCAAAACCCAAAAACTGACAAAAATGATGGTTCAGCCATTTCAATGAGCTGCATCACATTCTGTCACGGGACAACCGTTCTGTCATCTGCATCCATTTGCCATATTTAGTTTCATAACTAACATCTACAAAGACATTTTATCGTGCAAGAAAGTAAAAAAAATGAGAAAGAAAATGTTAAGGAAAAAAATTTCCAATCAATTAAATATTGGAAACATTTCTTATATTGCAAACAAAGCATGACAAACTAGCGTGGAAAAAACAATACAGGCGAACCCACAGGCGAAGCTAAATTTTGCACCACTTGCGATACAAGTGATACAAGTGGTTTGCATCACAGTAGCTGGCCCAAAAAAATAGAAGCCTGAGCCGAAAAAAAAGAGGAAAAAATGAAGAGATAAAGTTTTTTGAAATTCATTTTTTCTACATTTGTTTGAGAAAAAAGAATTCAAGGAAAGATACAGAAAAACATGAAAAATTATACAGAGCGCGCAACATCTATGTGTTCATGCCGGAAAACGCTATTACATCAAGTGGATTTTTCAGAAGATCGTTTTTAAGCATTTTTAAAAAATTTAGTTTTTAACGAAAGAATACTTGCATACAATTTTCATTGGAAAGTGTTTGAAAATCTTTTTCTTTGATTTCAAACTGAAAAATCGTTTTCGGTAATCAAAAAGCTTTCATCTGGCGAAAAACGCTATTAACTCATTTAATTTTTCTTGAAAAAACGTTTTTTTTTACAGTATTTCTGAAAACTTTATTATTCTGAAAAAAATGCTTGCCATACAATTTTCATGTATAGGAATTGTATGACAAGCATTTTTTTTCTAAAAAACTCAATAATCATGATTTTTGATTACAAAACTGTTTTAATAATATTAGAATCAAACAACCGCAGAAATTAGTTTATATCTTTTTTCAACCATTTTTCGAAACTCAATAGAATAAAAACAGTATAATACGCAGAACAAACACAAAAAAAAGGAACCAGCTACCAAGGATACGACAGATCAGTCAACACATTTGCCGCTAGCTGAGCCGGAAGATGTCGAAAGAGTTCTCCGAGGACCAGTTAAGGAGAACGCAAAGCTCAATTGCTCTTGAAAATCTGTCTATTGGGCGCATGTCAGAAAAAACCTGCGTGAAAATAACCTGACAAACAGTTACAACCCGGGTCGAGATCCCGCTCAAAAACCGCTCAAGATATGAGCGGTTTGAGCGGTTTTTCAGCAAGATTTGAGCGGTTTGAGCGGTTTGGGCGGTTTGGACGGTTTTTTCGGAAAAATCGCTCAAACCGCTCAAATCTTGCTTGAAAAACCGCTCAAAAACCGCTCATTTCTTGCGGTGATTTTCTTAAGACTTCTTTACATATAAACGAATCCCTTCTCACTTATCATTTCGACCAGCTGGTACATAACCCAGTGTAATATAATGCCCTCAATATTCGAAACACTTCTGCAACTCACAAATTCCCAGATCACGACGTCTCTTAGCATCTCAAAACGAATACGCATGGAGCTGCTGCAAGAAGAGGTTATGGAAGCAACATCTGGGTGAACAGTGAACGCATGTTTTGGACTGGAACTGATAAAAGTGTTCAAAATGAAAACTTGAAACCCATCAAGTGACGCTGAGAAAACAAGGCTAAAGTTTACCTACAACAATGATATTTAGAGAGAGCATTGAGTTCTCATCTGCTCTGCCAACTTATGCGGAAGGCAGTTCCTCAGTAAGAAAAGATTCGCTCAAGACAATGACCAATGTTTCTGTGGACTTCCTGGAGTACTTCTAGGACTGTCATTCCTCAAAAACTAAATCAGTTTCAAAGCCTGGCCGAGATGAACACAGAAAGAGGGTAAACGAATTTATAAGAGAGCCAGGCAGAAATGTTTTCGAAAATGATGAAATTGATTGAGATGAAAGAGCAGGAAAAAATTGACAAATATATCTGGCAACGCTCTGTTTGAGCTATATCTGAAACTTTGACGATGGAAACAACACTTTTTTGGTATCCATAAGTAGGCTGTAATACAGGGCTCGCTTATTAAACGAATTAGTGCATCTACCTTCAAAAACTATGAAGTAAAATAAATCAGCATCACTAGCCGACAGAAAACAGATTCGAAGCGAAGTATCCAACCCGGGTTGAGGTCGTGGTTTTATGTTCAGACTTGATAAGACTGAATCGATTCGCGTTGGGGACGAAAACTCATGGTAGCACTCGCAACGCAGGTCAAAGTCTGCAAAGCTTAAGCATAAGTCTGCAAAATCTGAACAGAAGTCTGCAAAGCCTGAACATAAGTCTGCAAAGCCTGAACAAAAAGTCTGCAAAGCTTGAACATAAAGTCTGCAAAACTTGAACATAAAGTCTAAATATACGACTAAATATAGTCTGCAAATTCTGAACATAAGTCTGCAAAGTCTGATCATAAGTCTGCACGGTCAGAACATAAAATCTGCAAAGTCCGAACATAAAGTCTGCAAAGTATGAATTCCTGAAAAAATCAAAAAATCATCAAGACCTAATTAATTGTTCTTTTTCAGTTGATACAACCAAATTATTCAATAAGTCTGTTAACTATTTTCTTTGACTCTAAAAAAGGCTACATCATCTACGTAACCTGATGTGCACCACATGGTTATGCTTTTTAGGTTTAAATTGAATGTTCCTGTAACATTAGATAGTTTCACGGATATATTTATGAATAACTTTCATAATTTGAACTATGTGTTCTCAACGTAGGGTTTGACTGATCAATAATTTTAAAGACCTTTTTAAACTTTGAAACGCTGAAGTTTAAATACTGTTCAAGACTTATCCTCTATTTTACGAAAACATGATACTTTCCCATAATACTTTCAAAGAAGAAGATATTTGTTTCAGTAACCATAAAAGATAAACAAGACTGCTCGTATCAGGGCAAAGCCCTGAATGTTCCGACTGCCTTCTAAGATTTATTGAGCAGCAGTAATACATAAAAAAATTAAATGAAATAAAATAAAATTAAAAATTTTTTTCTAAAATTTGAAATCTTTTTATGAAAATCATCTCCCCACACGCCAAATAAAGTACAAAAAGATAGATTTCGTACCTTGTAACAAATCAATTATGGCAAATAAGCTTCGTTCAACCAATTTGGAACGATTTATAAGACGGATTAAATCTCGCTTACGCGTTAATAGTGCGAATTATATTGCGCGTTAATTGTCCCAAATTGGTCAAAATGGCCAAAATGGCAATCTTTAACCCCTCTTAACTTTATGAAAAATGATCACAGGTGAAATATTTTTTCAAATTTAGGCTCAGGACAAGCATACCTTTTGAATGATATAAAAAAAATCCGTCAAAAATGGCTAGTTAAAAAGTCGAGATTTGTCTGAAGAAAAAAAAACCCACCCCGAGCACAAATATTCAGTTACTTTCGTATCGAAAGTCGGAACAAATATCAACAAATGCCAAAAAAGCCAGTTCATTTGAAAAGTTATTGTATAAATTTTTATTGCAAATTGCTATTCTTTTATGCTACAATTAACAAACAAACAAAGAACAAACGCTCAAAACTTTCTTGATGACAGTTCACAACTCGAGTTGTGAATTTTTCCACACATGCATACATACATTTACAAACATATACATACCTACATACATACATAAATTTGTACATTCATTCATTCATACATTCATACATACATACATGCAAACACATATACTTTCATACATAAATACATACATAAATACATACATACATACGTACATTCAAACATACATACACACATACATACTCACACACATACATACTTACAAACAAACAATTTTTGTTTGTTCCATAATTTTGAAACCGCTTTTCGAATTCTTTGTGCCCTAAAACCGGGAATTCCGGTCCATTCGGTCTGAATCCCGATTTTTCTCGGGCCATACGCTCTGAACCCGGATTCGGCCAGAAAGCGAATTTTGTCGGTCCACATTGTCTGAAATTGGAGTCTTTCGGTCCACACGGTCTGAATCCGGATTTTTGCTATCCAAACGAGCTAAAATTGGAAAATATATTTTTCACTCGGTCTGAACATAGCGTTTTCTAGTCCAATGCTCTTAACATACTATATTGTGGTCCGAAAAAGGTCTGAAAATGCTAAATTTTAGTCAACACGGTCTGAAAATAAAACCACAACCTCGACCCCGGAAGCTATATTAGACTTGATTAAAACGGAATGAGCTGCATCCAAAATCTTTCTATCTACATTATACCGGAGTGTACAAAGTTACGTCTGATTTAGTTTTTCAGTAAACATAAAAATGACGAAATATCCTTAATTGATGAAATCATCAATTGCCAAAACAACCGGCGAAAGCAAGACTACAGCTTTAAACCGAGTAGCTCAAGAAAATGTTGGAATACCCATTCTGCAGAAACTAAGTTTGCATGAGGAGAATTAGAGACTACATGTGAACAAAACTTGGGACCCAGTTACACAACGGGAAAGAAACACAATGCAAAAAGAGCCGAGTCAGTCAATTGTTGTTCGACCTGCAATCAGCAAGCCTTCAGTGTACCCGAGTTTCATGAGTGTACAACTCTCGCAGGCCATGCAAACTGATTCTCAGTCATCTTTTTTGCAATTCTAGAATTCATTGCTTCTGCTGAGTCTGATGGGGCTGTCGAAAGCGACCTCGCACCTTCAGCCGCTAAGAAATTTGCTCGAAAGTTTCAAGCAGAAAGATCGCCCGGAGCTTGTGAACAACCAGAAAGGGTATTCCGCAGAAGATTCATGTAGTTCCCTACCCTTCATGGACTTGACTGGAACAAATTGCCTCGACAATAAGCAGCTGAGCGATGTGGATTCCGCAAAATTATGCGGATTCCGCTTACAATTTGCGGATTCAGCTTGCAATTTGCGGATTTCGCTTACAATCTGCGGATTCCACTTACAGTTGCGGATTCCGCGACAGCTTAAGTTTACTTAACACATATATCATTATTTGTTCATGGATTCCACAAAGTGGTTCCAGATTCCCCAATTTTTGTTGCGGATTACGCAAAACTGCTTGTTTTTGGAGCAACACAGTGTTTTAGCTATCTGTCCGTGGAATCCAAAACAGCAGACAAATTTTGACAGGTTTTTGACAGAACGGAGGTTAATTTTTCCAACTTTAACTTAACAGCAGAAAAATCATTATAACAACGCAATGCTGAGTTAACTAACACAAGCCCTGAAAGTTCCGACTGCCCTTAATTAAAATTAATATATTGAAATTATTAATCAAAATATTGAAAAACTATAAGTTTTGTGGTTGCCGGACATCAAACCGACGGCACTTCAAGCCGAATCGCAAAATTAGGGATTTCAAGCCAAAAATTTTGTCAGAAAGACATCAAATGTGGTTAATTTTAAAACTATTTCCAAGAATTTTTCAGTTTCATGAGATTTCTTTCAACTTATTGGCTTTTACATAAATTTTGAGCCTCCAATTGATATTTAGGAATGTTAAAAATTAAAACATTGTTGAAGGGGTTTTTCAAGTGCATGATTTAAGCATTTCAAATTCCGCCGAGCCGATCTAACTATCTGATACCATTTTTAAGTGGTCCATGGTTATGAGGAACGCTGATTATGAACTGAACTTGTTTAAATTTTTGAAAACCAACAATTAACAGCTGAAAAATTGACGTTTTAGGCGTTTGTAAAGTTTAAGTTTCGGCTGAAAGTCCCTTCGACTTGAAGTCCCGTCGGCCTGTTGTGCTTGACTCCAATTTTGGAGATTATCAAATACCAAGTGTAAAAACTTGAATCGTAGGAAATTAATACGATCGATTAGCTAGCCTCAATTCAGTTTGGAACGATTATACATGAGTGCGGATAATTTTCTACGCACCAACAATTCGAATATTGACACAAGCTTTCAAAAAATATTGCCGCAGCAAAGGCGCTCTTTGGACAAGTGCAAGCACACGCGCTTGGCAATCTCAACATTGCAGGATCGACGCGCACACGCCGTTAGCTTTTTAAAAATTGGTCTGAATAGAAAAATCCAACCCTGGAATATATATTCCTTACTTCTTTCCAACGTCTAAATAATCAAATTTTCTAAGCCAGATTTTGCCTACGACAAACAAATATTTTTAAAGAGAACATTAAGCTCTCATCTGCTCTTCCATTTTATGCCGATGGCCAAAATTGAAACGCCAAATTTCCTAAACAAGCTCAATTTTAAAAATTAAAACTGATGGGCTGATTGTTTTGTTGCTGCCACATAAACATGTAACGTTATTAGCTACATTTTTTCTTTTTAGTTAGATATTTAAACTGTACAGACGTAGTAAGTTTTAATTTGAACTACGTAGCGAGTTTTTGATGAAATTTTTATGTTTAACGCATTATATTGAAGCCTGCACTTTTCCCTTAATCGTTCCACGGTCAAAAATTTTTTAGCTTAAGACAAGGCGTAAAATTGTTTCTGGCGTAGAAAAAAATGACAATCAATGGTCCATTTTAAAAAGACCAATAACATCAAAAACAGTTTGTGAATCGGAGGTAGGTTTTTTTCATACCTGATACAAAGGGATATCTTTGGCTTAGACAAACATTCATTCTTTTCCCCACAACAAAACTACTTCCAGATACTTTTTGACAGGGCGTCGTTTTTCAACAGAACGTCTGACAAATGACAATTATTTGTATCATAAGTCGCAAATTACTATAAAATTACTCATAAAGTCATAATGAAATTATTTGTCATCATACTAAAGATATTATTCATACCAATAACCATAATCAACATAATCATTATGATAATTTTGAAAACTCAATCTCAATTAGTGTTGTTTTTGGAAAATTTGCTATTAGGATTTAAATTTGCTGGAAAGTAAGTTTTTTCCTCTTACGTCGACAGAACAATTTTGCTGGAAAAATGACAACGTTTAAACTGTAGCTTCTCGGTTAACGCCTAATTAGCAAAGATAGATTCGCCTCTTAAAACAAGCTGTTCGAATACCAGGGAAACGCCCTGAATGTTCCGATTGCCACTTAATTCATATCGAATAGTTTTGGGAAAAGAACATAATAAAAATCTATAAATTTTTGACAATGTCAAAGATCAATCTCGTTTCGTGCGAAATTAATTGAAGCGATTAGCTAGCCTCAATTCAATTTGGAATTATTGAATTTTGGAGAATAATAAAACCACATTAAGCATAAATAATCCCTTTTTCTTGAAGATTGGAAAAATAACTGGAATAAAACCATATAGAGATATGTCAAAGGCAACTGAATAAACAAAAAATAGTAAGTTTCTAAATTATCACGACTAACAAGCATAAATTTGGAGTTAAATCTATCCTAACTCAAAAAGTTTTTGAACGCAATGGTCTAGGATATGAAGTGAAATGTGAAATTCTAGTTAGAGTTCGCAAACCAGCAAGAAATCTTTCTTGTGTCTCAAAACAACTAAAATACATTGAATAAAATATCCAAATATTTTTTATTTTAGGCCATGTTTATGCTGGCGAGAAGAACCCTCCAGCAAGAAAAAGATATGCAAGAAAAAGTTATGCAAGAAAAAGATATCCCAACATCGTCACAAAAAAGGAATCGATTGAATTACAGAATTAATTGTAATTTTATTCCGATTAATTTTGACTACATGCCCTCAATTTAAATGTCCGAAAAATATCCAGACAAAATAATCAACTTTCATCAGATAAATCAAACCAATTTTTTTTTCATAAAAAATCAGTTGTAAAAGATTAATGGCTTTAAATTCAATTACTGAAGTTTTTTTTGTCAACATGTTCTGATCATGATGAAACATTATTTGATCGATTACTAATGCTTGAAGTGGATGCAAGATTGAATGAAGTTACTAGACTCCGGCGGAACTGCAAAGTTTGAGAGCAAAGTCGTATGCCAATTTTAATCAACCAACTTATTAACACTTGCATTGTGAACCATCAAAGAAGCAAAATTTAACAAAATCAATGTTTCTCTATCTTGAGTTATAATCTGAGGTCGAATCTGATTGGCTAATTTCAGCCAAGCAAACTCAAGCAACACGGTCAGGCATTTAAATCAACTTTCACCTGCAGATAAAAAATATTACCCAAAAGAATGTGGAATTTTAACAACTTCTGTGAAACTTTGGAATTTTTTTGTGAAACTTTGATCAGGCAAGAAAAATTCCTTAAAATGGTTTCAGCAGAACAATAGTTATATAGTTTTGGTTATTTCGGCTAATAATTTTATCTAATCGAAGTTTTGAAACTATTGAAATGACGGAGGGTGTTTTGATTGACTAAAATTTTTGGCCGTTTTTGGCATGAGAACGACATTTGTCACTAAAAAAGCGCAAAATTTAATCTAAGAAAAAAGTCAAATATTTTGACATCTTTTCTTGCAAGCTCGTAGGTTTGCTCCTGGATGAAAGAACAATTAACATAAAAGGCTTTGTTGCATTAATCATACGTCATGAAAGCATATAAGACTGCTAGTATCAGGTCAAAGCCCTGAATGTTCCGACTGCCCATTAATTCGTCTCAATTAATTTTTAATTAATGGAATTTTGACATACCAAGAATTTTAGGCTGATAATATCAAATTTGACTTGTTAAGTTTTGAATCGTGTATAGAATTGATAAGACTAATAGTTTGTCTCAAATCAATTTGGAACAATTTGTAGAGCGGCTGAATTGCCACGCGTAAAAATTGATTGTCACTTTTTCAGTGCCAAATCATATAACCAACAGTTTAGCTAGACTCGTGTCAAATTAATATAATGGTATGCGAATCCCCCAAGTTTTCTTTTTTGAAAATTGGTCTGAATCAAAAACCACCTGATCATATATTTCCCCCAATTTGTCGAAAGTCGGAACAATATTGCTAGAAAAACAATTTTTGCAAAAACAATTTTGTATCCAGTGGCAGGCCTACAACTGCCTTCAATGAGGGTTTGAAACTTTGATTTTTAGAATTGATTTGAACGTATGAAATTGGGTTTTTCGCAAAATCAGCTGACTCAATGTTTTCTAAAGTCAAAAGTATTGAAGACTTTTAGCAAAGATTCTGAAAATCAAGTTATCTCGAAGTTTAACAGCTTTTACGTCGTATAAAATGAAAAAAAAAATAGACCCGATAGTCAAATTTTTGAAATTAATTTGAAAAACGTAAGCTGGATAAGTTCATTTCAAACTGGCATCATTTTTGCTCTATAAAAACCATATTTGAAATGGATCCTAGTTTGTAATTTTTGAAACTTTATTTTTTCTGGGTCATAATGGTTCTGAATTTTATAAAACAAAATCATTTTTGAACTACTTTGAAGTTTTAGCAGATCATCGTCATTCATTAATTTCATTGACTGTACAGTGTGGAAGTTTTCGGCTCGATTCATGTTCGAAAAAGAATTGCATTAAAAATTACTGAACGTGATTGAAAAAATTTTCGCGTACTTTTTTTCGGTTGGGGTGACTTTTTTGAAGCAATTAATCTGCCGACTGTAGAGTTATTAATGTAATGACTTTATTTTTCTGTAACAAATAATGTGTTTGAATTTTCTGCTTCAGTTTTCATCTAATTCCCTTTAATTCAATTTCTCAGAAAACCAAATGCGCTCCCAGATGCTGTTCTTTGACAACAAATCCTGCATTAGGATACTATTGTTTTATATATCCATTGAGAGACACGAACAAAGATCACATTCTAAAAAATGTTCAGATTAGTTTTGTGACGGCTTTGAAGACGCTTACGTAAGGTACTTATTGGTATCTCCATATAGTAATCTAAAACTATATGACTCCAGGTCAGAGTTTACTGAGGGTGCAAGAGTTTTTGGTTAAAAAAACTGCAATTTTTCTTCTTTGTTTTAAATGATATTTTTGCCTTTAAATGATAAGAGAAGTTTTGCGTCAAGCCTCTACAAGCAATCTTGTGTTTTTTTGGCAATCTAGCCAAATAACCCTCACTGACAAAAATGGTTTCTAGTCGATTTAAATTGATTATAAATCGATTTTAAATCGATCAAAATCGATTAACAATGTATATTTTACGAACTTAAATGGATTTTAAATCGATTTAAATTGATCTTTTTGAAAAATTTTATATCAATTTAAGTGTCTAAAAAATCGATTTGAATCGATTTGGATGGATTTTCCGACTCACTAAATTCATCCGAAGCTCACTTAAATCCATTTTTTATCAATTTAAATCGATCTTATTTGAAAATTTTAGATCGATTTGAGTGTCTAAAAAATCTATTTAAATCGGCATGGATGGATTTTCCGACTCACCAAAATCCATCGGAAACTCACTTAAATCCTAACATCACTAACATCAAGTTTTTTGCTAACACGGCGGAAAAAACTAACACTCTAAAAAATTGTTGAAGTTTTTTATTCTCGATTTTTTAAACATAAACATTCGTGCCAGATGTGGTAGAATTCAATAGAATGATCCAAATAAATCAGGTTTTAAAATCAAAGTTTTGCAATAAAATCATAGAAGACCATTGTAAACCAGAATATGGGCATAATCTTGTGTAACAAACAAGAAAAGGGCCAGGTAAAACTAAATTGTGTTCTCAATAATAAGCAAAAAAATCATAGAAAAACATGAAAATAAATCAGATTTTAAGCTACAACTTATGAAACGAATCAAGAAAAGAGTAAAAAAAATAAGTTTTTGAACTCAAAATATGCAAGAAGATCATCAAATTTTCTCGATATTTTGGTCTTTTTATTTGTTCTTTTTATGCTACAATACGCTATGGATGAAAATCGAAAAATGATTGGCAAGAAGTAAATGCAATAATTTTTTGAAACTGATAAAACTCGAATGAAAAAAAAAATGATTTAAATTGGTTTAAATCCGTTTTAATCCCCTTAAAAATAAAAACAAATTCAGACTGGAAAAAATGTATTTAAATGGATTTAAAATTGATTTGGATCAATTTTTTTAGCTGAGATTCAAAATCAATTTAAATTGATTTTAAATCAATTCAAATTAATCTTCATCTTTTTATTTAATCTTTTTTCATACTGAAATCGATCTAAATTTAATCAACGTACTTTTTTCATACTAAAAACGATTCTAATCCATTTTTGTCAGTGCGGGAAACAGTTGCCGAAAAAAAGTTCATGAAACTTTGCTCAGAGATATAAAGAATTTTCTTCTATTGTCAAAACCTTTTACAAGGGACTATTTTACAAATTTTGAAATTCAAGTCCAACTTCAGCCTATTTTTTACAGTAACATTGTCTTTTCAGTTTCTACAGTACACAAAACTACTCGCATCTCGTATCAGAGTCAAAGTCTCCGACTGCCCTTCATCTTTGAAAAAAATTTTTACAAAAAATTTACACAAAATTGCAAAAATATTAAATTGGTTTTCAATGTTTTCTTATTTTTCACTCCAAATACTATGGTACAAAATCTCGATTCACTATGCGTCTATTGTTGTACTAATAAAAAAATCCTCTTTTATATCAATTTGGGTTAATTTCCGAGCCGGAGTCAACTTCTGCTTACGCGTTATTAGTATGAAATATCGCAAAGCAATTTCCACACCACATAATTTTGTTAAAAAATTTCATTAAAATATTATTAAAAAATAAGATTGAGCTCGGGACATCAATAGTTTACCGATGAAATCTTTTGCGATTAGCAACCATTGTGAAATCGGAACGTAGATTAGTTTTCAATTTAACATTTTATTTGAAGCAGTCTTACTGTGATCTTGTCAAAAATAAACATAATTTGAGCATTCAGCATTTAAAAATACAATTTAGACGAAAATTTTTTGTATGTGACTTGGTCTTCAGTGTACTTGTAATTCGCAACTAGACATTTTTCCATGAGGAACTTTTCTCTCAAATCTGTTAGAGATACGTGCAGATAGTTTGACGTGCAGGCTGACTTGTTCACTGTCTTGAAAATTCAAATAACATTATCGAGTTCAATAACATTTTTTTAGACTGGCTTATTGAAAAATAATAATCTTTTGGATCCGTGGTTTTCAAACTAAATGTATCTAAATTTTGTCGGCTCGTTTCCCGTGTTTTTTAGTGTCTTACTTTTTTCATCTGTCAATTTTCAAAGCATAGTTTTTAATTTTGGTTTATACAGTGCTGATTTGAATTATCCGGACAAAACAAACAAAGCTTGAATTTTCAAACGCGTTTTTCTCAAATTGGGTTAAGATTAGACAAAAAGTGATGAAAACAAAAATTGCTTAGAATTTCATCAAAATTAATATGGTGCAATTTTTTCTCCGAAATTCTCAACCAAAATTTTACCCGAAAAATGGGTCATTTTGGCTTTTTTCAATTAACAAAAATTACGCGGAAACTACTTTGTTAATTGATAAGAAAATTATATCACAAGAAGCGTCCTACTTAGCCCAACAAAGTTTAAGAAGGGTTAAATCTCCAAAAACCAGTACAAGAGAAAAAGTTTTTGCTTGACAGCCAATAAATGTGATTTTTACTATATAAAACCCAGAATATCTGTTTTAAAACAAATTTTAAACAATTTGCGCAAAAATTTGGAGAATTAACCTTTCTTAAACTTTGTTGGGCTAAGTAGGAAGCTTCTTGTGATATAGTTTTCTTATCAATTAACAAAGTAGTTACCGCGTTGATTAATTGAAAAAAGTCAAAATGACCCATTTTCGGGTAGAAGTTTGGTTGAGAATTTCGGAGAAAAAATTGCACCAGATTAATTTTGATGAAATTCTGAGCAACTTTTGTTTCCTTCACTTTTGTCTAATCTTAACCCAATTTGAGAAAAACGCGTTTGAAAATTCAAGCTTTGTTTGTTTTGTCCGGATAATTTAAATCAGCACTGTAGTGTTTTTACACTGACTGCGAAGTCACTTCATTTTGCGTTGTTTTTGTTCAGACTTTCGATACGAAAGTAACGGAATATTTGTGCTCGTGGTGGGTTTTTTTTTCTTCAGACAAAT